CCCCAACCCTGCAGGAGACGGGACCTCCATTTATTCGTCCCTATCCGAGAAGACTAGAATATCTAACCATTTCTTGATGTTATAGAAAGGTAGCAAATTCTTCTCAATTATTTTAAGACCTTGAGTGTTGGTCCGACTGGGGCTCGAACCCTTGACCTCCTGCACAACAGTCCAGCGCTCTATCCATTGAGCTAACCGGGAGGCGGTTATTCTTCCAGCACTTTAACTTAGTGAACAATTACTTTTAATTCAAACAAAAAGTTGAGCCGACTCACCTGATCATCAGTCATGCTTTCAGACAGAGCTTCAACTGCACTGGAATAGTCAGTCAAAAACCAAGGAACGAAAAGATTAAAGTTGTCAGCATCATCTGAGGGTAGACGACATGCAAGACCAAGATGATGAAGAAGTTCAACCATCTGGAGAAACATGGCTTCCTCTAGTTCAATCTCTGCCCAGAGACATCTAAAAACCAGACAAAAGATATCAATTGTGATTTTTTTTTAAGCTGGCAAGGTTGTAAAATGAACTATATGAATAATACATAAAAATGCCAAAACTCAAAGTATATGCAGCCTACACTATTACATACAATGACTTAAGATAGTTATTGACAGTCCAGTTAGGGCATTCCCTTTTCCTTCTCCCCCTCTAATATTGTTTATTCACATTTAATCCTTCATCCTGCAAATTTGTTATTATAGCATGACAGGGAGCAAAGCATATCGGACCATCTAATATGATTTATTTTCTTAACAGTAGGCTTTTCCTTCCCTTCCCATGCTCTTAACATTTTGCCAAAAATAGAACTGAAATTTAGTGAGAATGAGAACAGTTCATTTTTTCCCTTTTCTTTAGCACTTAAATAGTTACCTCAACAGAGCCTTTGACAACAATGCTTCCTGCACAAGTTTTGTCTTGAGTTCATCAAAGAACCCACGAATCATTCCAAACCGTTGAAAGCTTTCATCAAAGCTCAGTGTCTCCTGCAGATCATGTCGGAAAAGGCGCTTAACCAATTTTGCCAGCCATCGAAGATCAATGAACACATTATTGTACAAAGAAGGAATGTCATTGTAATAATGCAACTCTCCAATAGAATCCAGATATGTTACTGCTGAGTGCAATCCCCTCCCAGAGAGACCAGTATGTTCTTTGGCAAACTCTTCAAAATCTGCATAAGACATACAACGAACCTGCAAATTTTTTAAGAGTCAAACCAAAAGTTAAACAACATTTAACGATAATTGACCACAAATAGTTTTCATTGATGCTTTACGAAAGGAAGTCAGTGCACTACCTAATTAATAAAATTAATAAATGTGATTTAAAATCTCTATTAGATTGCAAACTAAGATAGCATTTTTCCCTTAAGCATAACCTGTATAATGTGGGATAAAAAACAACACTTTTGACAAAAACCAGAATACAGTGCTCTATACAGAAATAACAAACAAAATTGGCCAACTTAGGTTTGCTTGCAATGAAAGGTATTTATGGAAAATATTGTCTATTCTTCCAGCAAAACGCAAATGAGTAAAACCTTGTCCTTTTTTCATACCACTTTTATTACAGCCCACCACACAGCCCACCACATTAAGAAGAATCATTGATAGGTTTAACTAGCTGTTCATGTAACAATTTTTAACAGGGAATAAACTAAAATTTGAACCTGATCATCTTCTTTACACCTCCTCAATGCCATCTCAAGTTTGACCCACTCTTCAGGTAGATCTGTGCCAACAGATGGAAAGAGTTCTCTATTTTCAGCAATACGGATGATTTCTTTTTGTAATGCTACTATCCCAGTTAGCTCACTGACATTACTGACAGGTACCATGGCAATGTAACTTGTGTTGCAAACTTGCTCAGTCGGAGGTGACTCCTGCAGAAGGCACTATCAAAGTAAAACATACTATTCTCAAAAATAATTGATCAAAATTATAACCCCCATTTTCAAACCCAATATGCATTATTTACCCTGGACTGTAGTGCGGGAGGTCGAGGGTTCGAGCCCCGGCCGGACCAACACTCAAGGTCTTAAAATAATTGAGAAGAATTTGCTACCTTTCTATAACATCAAGAAATGGTTAGATATTCTAGTCTTCTCGGATAGGGACGAATAAATGGAGGTCCCGTCTCCTGCAGGGTTGGGGCAGGAGACGTTAATTTCCCACACACGAGATTACTGTGTGATGGATTTCCTCCCCTGGGGTGGGATGGGTGGGTTAGGACAGCAGGTCCACATCAGCTATTACAGCTGCCAATTAATCAACCTGCTTAAACAAATACATGAACTTTACCTTCAGTCATTTCAGGTGATAATGATCAAGAGGTGCATTGAAATGAGATTTTCACTGAGCACTATCTGAACCTATATGTAGCACTTTCAACCAAGAGCTTCTTTATTTGGTCAATTCCACATTGCGGACATGACATTTAGAGGCAAAATTTGAGTATTAAATGTCTCCTAAAGCCAGATCCAAACTATTTGAATCGAAATGAGTCATGTCATAAAATTACCCAGGGCTGAAGTAACTTTTATTTTGCCAGAAAACATTTTGACTATCTCTTAGAGATCCAGAGATGATAATTTTTCAATGTGTGTTGCGGATGTGACTGCTAAAACAACCATTGATTTGAATTGCTTTTGGTTAGTTCAAATTTCCTGTGAATTGAAAGCCTTAAAAAAAAAACTGCATACACTAACTAAATGCAATAGTAATTGTGCTTGAGCCTTCATAAATCTGAAAAGATATTATAGAAATTACTTGTTATCATGGATTTATTAACAAAAATGTTGTGTTGCAGACGTGACCAAAATTTGTTGCGGACGTGACATTTTGGGGATGTTCAGGAAAGAGCTTTTCATTCACTACTAATAACTTTCAGAGTAATGCCACTGAAGTAAAAATGCTGTTTTTATTACTTTCATCTGTAAATTGGGAAATCAATAACAAATAATATATATAAGAAATAAAAATGTTGTGTTGCGGACGTGACCAAAATTTGTTGCAGATGTGTCATTTTGGGGATGTTCAGGAAAGAGCTTTTCATTCACCACTAATAACTTTCAGAGTAATGCCACTGAAGTAAAAATGCTGTTTTTATTGCTTTCATCTGTAAATTGGGAAATAAATAACAAATAATATATAAAAACTTTGATGATCTAGGTCATTTTGTACGTCAAAGGGCATTATTTTATATTGACTTTTGGAAAATTGTAAAAAAAGTGATAGCCTTACATATATCATAATATGTCTATGATTATCATTTGCTGTCACTAAATATCAACATATCTTCTCATGTTTGAAAATTTTATGAGGTTTTCTGGGTTTTTAAAAATATGTCATGTCCACAACGGTCACGTCCGCAACCCAATATCTCTTAAATAGTTGACAAGTTTGAGCAAGCTGGGGTGTCAAAATTATCATAATACTTAACTATAAGAGCAACATAAATAAGACCTGATACAGTTGAGAACCTACAGAGAAATTAAATAAATGTTACTCTGAATCATACCCTGAAGGTCACGTCCGCAACACTTTTTTTGTCTTTGTACGTCTGAGGCATTAAATGTTTGAGAATTTTTTTCTTTTGGCATTGAAAGGCCCATCCTAGTGAGTAGTTAAGATCTCAAAATCTGATTCATAGCAGTCAATTTCTTTGAGATATAGCAATTTAGATATTGCTATGTAAAATGGCTTATTCCGTCAATAAAAACCCTAAAAAACAATGGCGTCTCACACCCTGGGCGTAGCCACTACTGCCAATCTAGATTTAGATTCTTATAGAACTATGTATAAGCTTTCATTAAAAGTAAGTTTGGCTCTCATATTTTGAATTTGAAAATCTGTCAAATTTTCATGTTTCACGTGGAATAGCCCATTTAATGATCATTGCCGTTATCCTTGTGACCCTGATATTTGATTGAGGCCTAATGCTATAAGGTGAAATTAGATGTTAGTCACTCTTAGATATCAAAGGGGGGGGTATTAGCACACATACAAATGTGTAAAAACATCTGATTCAATGACTAAGATGCATTAAATGTTAAATCAAATCAAAATTTCATTTGACCAAACTGGTAAGGGTTTGGAAAACATCTCACTTATGTTCCAGAATGTAATGTGGTTTGTTAGCTGATCTAATGTCCACTCAAACACTCAACATGTTCTTGGGGATGAATGTTAAATCGTGAGAACAATTTACCTGCAAAGCACTATACTGATGCAGAACAGAAGAAATAATTGGAGGGTTGTCCCTCCTCCACTCTGGGTCTGATCCTCCCTTCACAGGATTTTTGAGGCCTTTCCTCTTTTTTTCTGATATTTCA